TAATTCCTTTAATTTCATTGTATCTTCAAATTATATTTCTTAACAAGAAGTAATGTTAACACGTCTGAAAATGACATTGACACGACGTAAAATATTGTTATATATATATATATATATATATATATATATATATATATATATATATATATATATATATATATATATATATATATATGGGGGCGTGAGTGTGTGCTGTTTAAATCACTGTAAGTTATGAGATTACAATATGTAAGGCAGGGAACCGGAATAAACAAGCGAGGGTATTTAATATCTATGTTTCACGATATTAAATGGTAGAGAACACTCACGTTACAGCCTTTACAGATGGATACAAGCCAAACTGACATTTTGTTAAGTGAGAGCGATTAGAAAAAGATTGACTTAACAACATCTTGGAAATGAAAGTAGGGGGGGCACACATTTTGTAAAGAAAAACCTTTTACCGTCTTGATCTTAACTGTCCTTGAACAACAAACCTCGTTACAACAAATGCCAGCTGAGTTTATCTCTCTCTCTCTCACAATTTTCTCTCTCCTTTTCTTCATCTCTCTCTCCCTCTACATATATATATATATATATATATATATATATATATATATATATATATATATATGTATGTATGTATGTATGTATGTATGTATACACACACACACAAATATGCGGTTGTTCTTTTCCGTAATATAGAATTACTACGTAGGCTGTTAATCGAATAACGGATATACACACACAAATACATAGTCACAGAATTATATATATATATATATATATATATATATATATATATATATATATATATATATATATATATGTATATATATATATATATATATATATAAATATATATATATATATATATATAAATATATATATATATATATACATATATATATATATATATATATATATAAGCATATGTATATGTATATATAATATATATATATATATATATATATATATATATACATATACATTCATGTATATGTATCTATATGTATCTCTCTCTATATATATACGTGTGTGCGTGCGTGTGAACATGTACTACAAATGTTTCTTGGCAAACGGTTTATAATTAATGAATATTTAATTATAAACGAGAAATATGATCGAAATTACTGATATTTCAAGTATACAAGTGATCCTTGGAACATTTTAAGTGACACCAACGAACAACTAATTTGATCACACTCTGAAATATTTAATCAAATATTACTTATCTTAAGGGAAGTTTTCAGCGTATATACCCACACTCCTGCCTACATACTTCCCTATATATATATATATATATATATATATATATGAGTATCATTATCTCATTATTATATATACATGTCTTAAATATATATTAATGAATTTTGAATTGCATGTAGGGGAAATGATAAGGATATAGTCACTATCTATCAATTTATTTAATCTTTATATAGATAAATAAAGATAATGATATATAATCTTTTATATCTGAAGAAATATATTGTGGGTAAAAGCTTATGACAAAATGAAAAAAGAAGTTTTTGTGTGAAACGTTTCGACCTTTAAAAGTTGATAGGATTAAATTTCTTACAATGTTGTGGCTGCACACGAGCTCCAATGAAGGTTATGGTTACCAACATCATTTGCACATGTTTAGTCGCATCAGCGGGAAAAAAATTAGTTCGATGAAGTCCTAATGACTTAGTCATATATATATATATGTGTGTGTGTGTGTGCGCGTGTGTGTTTGAGAGAAAGAGTTTAAGAGTGAGAAAGTGTTTGTCTGTGTGTGTATTATATTATATATATATATATATATATATATATATATATATATATATATATAAAGGTGTACGACAAATGATTAAGTATACTTGCCTGATTGACAGTATTTGCCACGAGAGGAATTTTGAAGTGCATATCCGGTAAAGGTCAAGGATATAATCTTTATCTATCTATCTATCTATTCATATCGGCTTGCTCACAGATGGAAGTTAAATCTATCTATCTATCTATCTATCTATCTATTCATATCGGCTTGCTCACAGATGGAACGTAAATCTATCTATCTATCTATCTATCTATCTATCTATTTCTTTAGCTACCTCTCTAATGTCTCTC